TACGACCTGTATATATCATTTATTTATAACTAATATTTATATAATAAACTATATATCTCTTCGATGTTTAGTGTCTGCTAGCATTGCTGTCATTTCACTATGCTGACTTACTACATCGTCACATGGGATACACACCGAGCATAACCCCCTATCTTACTGCATTTACGCTCTGGGACACTTTTGAAGTCAAGGACACTTTTGAAGTCTTAACATACGTGGTTCATCTTACGTCGTTAAGTTCCAATGAGTTTTTACGTGAAAACACAAACAAAGCGGCCCTTTTCAGGGCCTCCACACACTCCAAAAAGAGAACTACCGTAACAAACACACTATTTAAATAAATCGAACGCGTTCGTTTTTGAGTTTGCAATGTCAATTTTTCATAATAGCCAATACCAACATGACCACGACGCCTGTCAATCTCTGCAAAGCAATTAACATTTAGAATTTAAGAAATCAAAAGAAAGAAGACATTAAATGACTTTCCCCTGGATGTTACTAATTTATATTCAAATTAGTACTAAGTGATACAAATTGCTTGACATTTCAATATAAAAAAATACGTATATTTAAATATGCATTTAGGTATGTTTTAGATCAATTAGAGAATTGTATTTGAAACAATAAAGTCCATTAAATTAAAGATACTATTGTATTTCTGATTGAACAACCAAAAAATTAGTTGTTTTCTACTTATTTCCTTCAATCATATAGAACGACACTATTACGAATGACTATGGTGGCATGTTTTAATGTTACATTTGTAACCATACTATTAACAATAATTAATTTGAAAATTGGTTACATTGCACAGAAGTCACTTTTCCGTGACATGTGGCATTTGCACATACCAGTGTTTACCTGTCACCACTTCTCTTGTGTTTTACCTATACAGTAGCGGTTTTCTTTGCAGCCCATATTCTAATGAAATTTATGCTAAAAACGGCCTTTCTGACCGTTATATGCCTTGCTTAATTATAATTTATTCATTTTTTTCCAGCATAAAATATCGAAAACAAAAGTGTGCGTGTATAATGAAAGAGAACAGTTTGCTTAATTTTCTCTGGCGTTTGCCGGGGTTAGCATTTCCTATTTACACCGTAGTTACACACCATACTGAACGCTACTTCACTCCAGTGCAGGTGATGATAATTACTGTATATAGTGAGTATCAAACTGTAAAGGTATCATATAAGAAGTGGTCGTTGGGACGCTCTAGTTCTTGCCAAGTATTCTGCACCGAATTCCGACTGGAATTCCGGATTCCAGCGAATAGGATCTGCCTAGATTGTGTATTGAATACATATTGACTGGCCGTTAGGACAATAGCCAAGTGAATAGCATATGTCTATTTCTCCTGAGAGCTTTGAGTAGTTCAAAACAGCAGTCTCGTACTTCATAAATTTTTACGCGGAACAGAATGCCATGTATGTTTGAGTTGACTATCTCATGCTGTTCTGTCAATATTTAAACGTTGATATGGCGGTGGTGATTTCGCGCATCGAGATATGGTATAGTTGACTTGTTGATCATCTATTAATAAGTATACAACCATTCACATTCAGTACAATGTAGAGTGCAAAGTTGTAAATACAATTGACAGCTACTTTTTTAAAATGACTGAGTAAACTCGTATAATTCAGTTTTCTTTTGGGAATACAAGACGTACCTTAATCAGAGAAGAAAAAGGAGATTTGACCGCTCAGTCTGCCTGTAAATTCTGCGTCGTTACTGTTTTTAGTTTTTTTTTCTACGATCTTCCGGTTCTTTCTGTGCATCAGTGGAGTCTGAATACAGAGGCGTACATGCTATTAATAGGTATAATCTCTTTAATGAAGCCTACAACATGGCTGTACTCCCACGGTGCATTATTCTTCCACAACTTCCCAGTTGAAATTTAAATGCATTTGGCATGCAGCAAATGTCAAGAAATTGTATCATCTTCCGAGATGCGTGGGGGAAAAGGTGTCATTGCTGACACAATATGACATATGCATTTTAAGAAATAATGCAGATAATATACCAGAATTTCAAAATGTTTAAAATATAAGTTTATTGTTTCATCTAACTCCTCAATATCCCCACTATAATATATCATGTATATCTTCACATTCGTTTTGTATCTTTAAATATTGAACATTAACTAAAGTTATATTCACCTCACGGTCACAGTTTTGAGCGCTGGTGTATTCCCCACACCAAAAAAACATAGATATTTCAATGCCACATATTCTTTTAACATGAGAGTAGGGGGAAGCGTTCTCTGTTTCGATTGGAAATTCTCGTTTATATAATAATGAAAGAAATAATTACGTGTTATCTGTGTATATCACCTTATAGGTCACTGCTACCATATGTTTACTGTAGGTACATCTGATATGTATGTTTTTCGCTTTATATTCAAGTAACCCGAATTATTATCAACTGTCTACATAAAACTGTGCATCCTAATGGTTTCTCTGTAATTTTGGCTAGTATAAAAAACAGTCTAATAAAAAAACTTTCTTATTTTGTGGCTAGAGGTACCCCCTTACGAAATCGGTATTCGTCTAATGGTTCACGATCAGACCAAGAAATTATTGTAGCTGCCGTAGATGGCGCAACAGCGGTTCCCATTATCACGAGCATTTGTCAACATGTAATTTGAAAAGGCCCTGCTTATGCAATGAGGCGAGCAGTCTGAATTCCGCCGAGTAGTCACTAAACGAATGGAAGGCCGACCAATATTTATCATCGCTGTTATCATTGTGTAGATGTAACCCGTTGGCGTCTACCACGGTAAATGGCCAGAATCCATAGAGATGCAACTCATCACACAGTGAGATTGCCATGGCAACCAGCATCATCCCTGGAAAATAAATTAAAATGATAATGCGGGAGTATTTTACCAGAAGTTGTATGAAACTTACAGACTCCGTCTTAGAGATGAGACGAGACACACTTTAACCCAGTACATAGGTCAGGTGTGGATTTTAAAGATACCGTTGGGAAAACGAGTTCCTATGCATATAATGTCAATTTTTACCTGGTGATAACGGCTTTTTAAGCTTCCACAACTGTTGAATGTGTTCAAAATATTTAGCATTGGCGATGAGTAGAGTTAAGTTTGTGCTTTCACGCAGCAACTCGTGAGTGGTGAAGGCAAACTGATTCGGTATTCTGGGGCTGTTCGGAACCCACATCATGTATCCTTCGTACTCCTTCGTGGCGTTCAAGAACATTATTGACTTATTTCTCTTACTAGTGAGCAATCCAAATCTAAGAAACAGATATAACGTTAGTATATACATGTTTAACTCCTGAACATGATAATTTTACTAACAGTTGAGTTGCAATGCCGAAAACTGACAAATGGCAAATGACTCGCATCTACATTTTTGAATTGAAAATATTATTCATGTTCAAAGGCCATGACACTGGAGTGAAGCTCTTACACTCCATTATACATTATAGTAAATAAACAACGATACAATATTATTTGTTGTGGTGGTTAGGGTAGAATTTTAGAATTATAATGATTCTCGAATTTGGACGATGTGCAGAACACACATATTTTAAGGCAAATGTTGACGTACATTATGAGTACCATTCTTGGTTGTTGTCTACCAACTATTTGTGATGATTATTTTGATGCTACTTAATGCTTAAAGGGCGGTAGTCTTCGCGCC